GATGTGTCTGTTTACTTAGAAATGAGGTCGTTTAAATTATAAGCGGTAAGGTTTTGTCTACATACATAAATATAAATACTAATTTATTTCACCTAGGATATATCTGAATTCATAAACTGTTAACAGGAAGAGCCTGTATGACAAGATACAACACATACCTTGGTAAAATCCTTCAAAGCATTTATTACTCGTTTATTTCATATATGCATGTATGTATCTTAGGATTTTGAAAATTACAGTCTTAGACAAATATCCTTTATTTCGATACATTAATGTGTGTAATTCGCTAATGTATGTCCCACATATAAATGCCTACAAAATACTGTTTATTCCAGCTTTAACAATTACATACTAAGCGAAATTAACATTTCTCTATTGTAAAGAAAATCTTATTTTTCTCTGATGTGTAAAAGAAGGATTCAAGTTGTGTTTGTCTGATGTTGTAACTCCAAAAATCTTGTTTCCTACCAACTAACAAATATGTTATTATAACTAATTTGTCTAATTCGAACATGGAAATGAAATAATTGGCAGAAAGAAAACAACAGCATGTTTTTCAATGACACATTTTCCTTAGAAAACTTTAAACCTGAGGGGAGAAATAAAGACTGACTATGTAGTTTTATAAAATAAAATTTAGCAATATCATTTCTAAAAGTTAACAGATGTATTGTTCTCCCATACATATAGAACATCTCAGGGAATAAAAATAAAATACTGAAGCCTTTTGGAATTTATGTATCTCATAAATTTTGCGAAAAACTCTTCACTCATTTTATGCAAATAAGAAAAGGACAAGATATGTAAAAAATCCCAATGATTGCATTGGGCAAACTATTCGTCATCCTCTTCTTTGACTACTCCAAAAATCACTTGTCAGTTAGGGTTGACAACTCATGTTTTTATTTTTGACTACAGCTTGATTCCACGCCATATTTTTGGTAAAAGTACGGAATTTTCAGCATGGATATCGGTAGCCCAAATTTTGCAGGCCGACCATAGATATCAAGTGTGTGTCGGCAGCAGATCGACCCTCCGACCATGTACACAGTCGGCGAGAGTCCTAACCACTGTGCCACCGACACACACAGTGAGTATGCACTGCACACAAACATGTTTGGATGAGTATTTGACTGGCGAAATGTAATAAACTTGGGGGCGAAAAGACAGAAGGAATAGCAGAGTTTGTGAAACCCTGGCCCTCAGCTCAGTCAGAAATCAACAAGTAAGACTTTATGCCATTCAAAGTTCAGAGTTCTTCCAAACTGCCTAGAAAAGTTCATAAAATCTTTCCCCCCCAAATAACCTCAACATTAATTCTCTTTAAAATAGATTGATCATCAGAATACATTTCTAGATGACTGAGCCAATTTAATTTGTGCTGGCATCAATGCTTATTGTTGAGGTAGTCTGCTGATTGCTTGGGTAATTAAGTATATTACGTTTAGTTAGGCTGGTGTAGTCTAACATACTGGATTCATTCATTTTGACGATCGAAAGCTATCGGTTAATCTGAAACTAATGATTCCTGCTTCTTCTTAATGACACGGTACCTTTCAAACTTAAACTGAAGTACTTTTACCTCTTTTAATTGCATTTTCGTTTATTTCACCTGTTATAATTAATAATACGATACCTGTACATCTTTGTCTGTTATGAATCTGAACTCGATTTGCTTAAATACAGCCTTCAAGAATGCATATATATATATATATAACGAAATCAAAAGGTTCTCAAGAAAAATAAAAAGCGTCATAATAATAAGTTAATGAATGGTGCAAATTGTAATATTATTAAAGTCAATGGAAATGGTCAACAAACACAATATGTAAAATACGATGAATTAAGCTAATTTGATTAGTTCAGACATATGATTTATATGGTTTAACAAATGTTGGCATAGGGATGAAAAGAAACCATCATATTCATTTCATAAGAGATTATGTAATCAACTTAAGGTCAAAAGCCAGCTGACCGATGAAGACACTGGCCACTTAACTTTGTTTCTCCTAATATGTTGATGAATCTTCAAGGATATCTATTGTCTCAGGCGTTTTTTTCTGTGATCCATGACTCCTCTATTTTGTCACTGGAGAGTTTCATTTTCAGGCTTTAAAATAATTCTGAAACTAGTGCCCGTTTGTAGTTAGCTGGGCGAAAGCTGTTAAGATGTAAGTAATTTCCACCCTATCTACTGCATCTTTTTAGTGTGTCATCTTTACCACGTTTTGCAATAATATCTAGAAAGCATAACTTTTGACCAGCTTTATATATCATGGTGAAGTTTGTGTACTGGTGAACGTTACTGAAGTTTTCTAAACAAGTAGGATACATTAGATAAATATTTGCATACAACAAAAGTATAGTGTGATTTTTTTTATTATACTGTTCTCTTTTGTATTCTCAAGATTTGCCATGAAAATATTTAATAATACATTATACAGTGGTCTTTACTTCGATGCCCCATCAGTCCGACTACAGGACTTGTTATTAAACTTGAAATGAATGGCAATAGTACGTATTCGTGGAAGGTGTTCGTATTCTAAAGCTGACATGAGAAGAAGATTAGGATTCTTATATATCAAGTGGTTTGACTTATTCTCCTAATTATATTATTATTATTATTGTATCCTTTAGTTCCTAGAGGAACATAGGGCTTCAGCTGCGCACCTCCATTGCCTTCGGTTTTCTGACAACTTTTTCACCCTGCTCCAGGTCTGTCCACATGCTTTCATCTCCTCCTCGCATGACCTCCTCCAAGTCACCCTTGGACGACCAACTCGCCGCCTCCCTTTCGGGTTCCACTCGAGGGCTTGTCTAGTGATGTCACTTGATGGTATATATATATATATATATATAATTACAGAAATTCGTTATACTTAATATAAAGATACATCTGTACAGCATGATTGTCTGCATTTATTCTTTGAAGCCTTTTTCCTTCAGTGTACAAATTGTACCAAAGTTGTAATGAAGCAAATGTTAAGCACATGTGGACAGTTAGTCAACACATCTCCCGAATCTTATAAATAAGCTCATCTTTAGAAAGCCTCTACTTGAAGTTACATGTGTGTTGCTTTGTACCTGTGGATGTTGTAAAGCATTTGGTGGTAAAATACTCCGATAATCACTCCCCCAAAAACTTTTATTTTAGAGTTTAAGAATATAATATCCAATATAATTGTTTCATATTTCCGTAAATTAGTTTGCGAAAATTAAAATCGGTTCATCCAAGTATTCGGTTGGTTAGAATTTCAAGAAAGGCTTTTATCTGTCATTTAAAGAGAAGTGAAGGAAATGTTTTCACTGAGTCGGTACTCACTTGAAAGCTACTTCAAGTTCCTGTGAAAACTGTAGGCTGTTTTAAAATTTGTTACAAAATGAACTATAAATGCTACCATAAAAGACAATCAGCACTCGTAAATACACCTGGTTAATATGCTACACCTGAAGACTACACATTATGTTCAGCTATTCAGGTAAATACATCTCCATAAGGCTTACCAGCTAAAAAACTATTTTCATTTTGGAAAAATATTACATGTGAGTCTGCATCCCTACTGTCCATTAAATAAGAATTTATTTAATCATAAGAGACCAAAACAGATTATTAACACATTATACGAGTTCCAATGCATACATTCATTTGGAGTCTGATTATCACAGTTTTTTGTCACATGGGATAATGTACAGCTCAGGTTAATTATTATCTTTAAGCCTGTATTATAAAACACGACATGGTTCATGCATCATAAATCCCCACTTGACGTTTTGAGAAATGTGTTATGAATGCATGAATGAGTGGTGAAATGATTTCCTATGTAATATCCCTGAGTGAAGAAATTTTCCTTGATATCAGTTAGTTTTTAAGTAACCTCAGTCGACTCAAAATACGATCAATGAAGTCATCACTAACTTGATAACTGAGTATAAGCCATAACATATTGTATATACCAATTCAACTGCGCTTGTGGAGCGAGTTGTATCGGCGGATGCTCTAGGGACTTGATTTTTCGTGCTCGAGAACATCTCCCATTATGGCTACGTAAAGGCGTAGTGAAAACCATCAACATATCGATATTGAACCATCTGGTGCAAACCGGCCACAAAGCCAGCCAGCGTCGAAGAATCCTACTCTATCATCCACCGCGTGCCTAATAAATTGCCAAAAACATCGAAGCACCGTTTTCTCCAAACAACAGAGGCTATTGCGATTCACCTCAAACAACCAGTGCTCTGTGTTCAAAAGAAGCAAGTCCAGCTATCCCCTACTACTGCCCTGGCCGGCCTTCAGTAGAGACTATAAATTCATGAATTCGTAATATTATCTTTCCTAATTTTTCTGACATTCAGCTTATTTCATGTTGATGCCATTGAGCTGTAATTCATCAATATTATTGATTCGATGTTATTTAGACAGCATTAATGTTGTTCATAACACTAATTCAGTCCTTCACTATAATGTATATATAACTGTAGAGCCTGATGAAGAGGAGGTTATCGAGAAGAGTATTCTTTGTTCAGTCTCCATTCTTTCGAAAATTTTAATGGGCATTTTTAATCAGTTAAAACATATTTCCACCGATACTCTTGTCACCAAGTCAATCAATTTAATTTTCATGCATTTATATGTATTAAGTGCAAAAGAAAATAGGACTTCAGTCCAGAGCAAAATACATAATGACAAAATAGCGGTTAATTTGCGCGGTTTGCTTGAAAATTTTTAAACATGTTTACAAACAAGAGAAAAAGAGTACAAGGAGTACTGGCAACTTCTTTAGCGGCATAAATAAACGAACAGAGCATCCGTTCAAAAAAATGCGTATACATTTTCTTAATATGTGACTGAAATTGATCTTAAACTTTAAATCTTAGTGAGTATTCGTGGTAAAGTACATAATATTACAGATATTAGATAAACAAACTATGGTGAAAATTATGATAATTCATAAAACAATTTATATGTGTGCGCAAAATTGCATAAATTAAGTTACATAACCTCATAGTAACCATGGTGATACTGTTTGTGGTGAAAATAAATCATTTTCACTTTCAAGTGGTAACTTTTCTTCTGCTTTAGATATCTGCATAAGTGGTCTAAAATGCATAGAATCTTTAGAATATTCAAGTACAACTGATCTAACTGGATACAAATTGTTGTTATGACTAGTACCCTTTGAGTACTTGCTTTCTGAATGTTTATTTGATGCACCTTGACTTCGACGTACTAACATACGACGACCTGAATGTTTTTCGCGTGAATTACTGTTCGATAGCTTAGAAGGTGGAAATATGCGAGCTGTTGAACGTACGTGAGTTTTGTTTACCGATGTAGGTGATGATGAATAGAAGTGATTGTTTAAATGAGTTGGTTGGTTTTGTTTCATCATCAAACGAGATCGTCTAGTAGGTGTTGATTTAACATGACGAAGTGGATTTGGTATATTATGTTTCACACCAGTTGGCGCTAATTTCTCTGTTATTGGTAGTTTGCATAATTGAGAAGCTGGGCGTCTCATAGCTTTCAGAGCACGCTTAAGTCCTAAATTCGAACGACTGATCCGTGACAAATATTCAACCTAAACAATTAAACAAAACAAATAAATTTTATGTTGAAAACATTTCACGATTGCTATTTGTGAACAAAAAATTTTGATAATACTAGAATAAAGCTTACCAGTGAAGATACATAAACTCGTTCCACAATGCACAGACTTTTGATGAACATTATTCTCAATCACTATGATTATACTTGTCTAGAACTTGTAATGTACTTACGCAACACATTTCGGACATTCTGATCACACACCCACTTGTCATACATATTCATATGAAAGGTAATAGATCATAAAGAATTACAATTTTAATCAATATAGATTTAAGTGTTTACGGGTTACGATAACACATAAAAGGTAGGGAGATGAGGTAAGAAAAAAGGGTAGTGAAAATAGTACCTTTCTAAAGTGAACCCTAAATTAATTCCATGGATGGTGACTAACAGTGGAATCCAGTATGCACATTTCGTTCCATTTGAGACTCGTCATCTAGATGTGCCTGCATCCCTAGTAGGTGATAGTGTTCCTACTGAGGTTGGAACCCATTACCCATAATTTCAAACACGATAATGTTATCCACTAGACCACCTAGGCTACGACAGCCATCTGTTGTGCAATAGGTATCAATTATTACTTGTTTCCAATTCAATTTTGATTTTTCCTGTTAACCGATTGGACCGAAATGTTCGGACTCAGACATCGTCCAAGAGCCAACAGAAGCCAAACACTTCGCCACAATCAATCAACAGGAAAATCAAATTAAAAATATATAGTAAAATCAACCTGGGTTCTAAAATTGCATTTGCCAAGCAAGTTCAGACTAATGACAATAATTTTGAACAAATAAAAGGCCTCCACTAAACAGTTGCGTGATCCAGACCTGCTGTATATATCGATTTAAAGGCGCTACTGAAATCAAACTTATGACCAATCTTTATGTTGTGCTTTGCGACTGATGATGTTGGACATGTACTTCTGGGATTAATTATATCAGGTGATTTTATTTATTCTTGCAGCCATTTAGGAATGTGTCTTGTAGACTACCTGCAGAGATCTATGAGTCCTGCCTACATACTCGTGACCATACACGCAAATAAGACTTAATCTTACTACTTTTTATTCGTTGTCATGACCTGTAAATACTTTGATCTTTATTGATTATGATCATAATCCTTTGTGATCTGTTGCCTTTTTTATGAATATGTATGACAGGTGGATGTGTGATCAGATTCCCCGAAATGTGTTGCGCATGTTTCAGATAAATAACGTCTTCTTCTTATTTTGTCAAAATTCATAGAGGGAATTAATTATACTTACTTAATTTATAATTTAGTTAATTTATGACTGCTATATGGGTTAAATAATTTTGTCTTGTCTAATCACATGTATCCTTCACCAAAAGGTTTCGTCCAGGTGATTCTTCAGGCTAAAGTGTTAGATTCACTTTGGCTTCAATAAAAAGTGGCTTGTGTGCAGATTCTAACTATATATTTCCCTCTTCTGACTTTGGTTATGGTGTTATTAGTGAAAACTTTCGTATTACTTTTATGAGTTCTCATGAATTTCTGGGGAAAATTTAAGAGGTGTTAAGTAAAATAGATTGTCCCAATTAAATACTTCATTTATCTGTTGAGAATATTGGGCTCATCAATTAGATTTTTAGCTTGGTAATTGAAATATTACACTAGACTTGTTTTAACTTATTTATGTCGGCATTTAATGTCGACCAAAAGAGATTGATTTCCTGTTGAAATAATATTCACACGGCCAACGCCTAACTACTTAATTTTTAGTGTAATATAGATAATTCTGTTTTTAATTTTCTAATTCACCTCTAGTCTGGACAAAGAAATTGTAGCTATGTTCTATTAGTAAACACTTAAATGTTGCATTTACGTATTTGTAGTACAACCTAGAGGTAGGAAAGTATATTCTTACAAAGAAAATTCACTTGTATCCACCATTTCAGATGTATTCTAGGTGAGAAGGAAAATGATTGAGCATCCGGACATTCAAGATTATGTTAGGCACTATTTGAATCCTTAGCATGCTACCACACGGATAATTCACTAATAATAATTGATGTTGTTTTGAATACTTTTATGGTTTCTTATCCTTTCTCAACTTAACTAGTAGGTTGTCAGATTGTCTCATAAATTAATATGAAAGTAGAGTATGATTAATCTGATAGAGCACAATTTCATATTTGATAATTTTAGGTATGGAATAAATTCACCAATAGAGTAATACTATGGAGGATTTCACCATGAGCTGACATCAGTTAGAGAACCACTGGAAAACCTGAGAGTACTGGACAGCTGTTCCGTATCAGTTTGGGACTCTTCAGCAGTACGCACCCACCGGGGTTCGAACCCAGGACCTTCTGGTTACAAGGCGAGCTTGCAGACCATTGAACTACTAGGACCCGATCCAATGGTCCTTGAATTCTAACTTCTGCCAATTCATGGTGAAATCCTCCATGCAATCAAACAAAATCCCTACAAAACCAATACTTGAAGAGTAACAATACTTGGATGGCGGTCTCAACAAGATTTATTATAGCGAAAATATTCAACCAGATATATATATATATATATATATATGTTTATATACATAGAATATTCTAGATTATTAGTCAATAACAATATTAGTGTGTTTTTTAAACAATATCGATTTGTAAAGTAAGATCAATGCAATTACAGTTCATTAGAGATGCTTAAATTATAATGATAATAAAGATAGAATGCCACCTAAAATTAGGAAAATAGCACAAAAATTCAGGATCATTCAAACCTAGATGGTCGAGGCAAGGATAATATCTGAAATAACTTCTTTTGGACGCACAAATTAGGCTTCTTAATATGGATCCCGACAGCCTCAACAAATGAAGACTGATATGAATATGATTATGAGCAATAAATTTTTGCTCCAAACGTCATCCACTTATTAATGCCGTACAACTATCTTACATCAAATAAATGTTCTACTTGTTCTTAATAAATCCTGTAAGTATTGTGAATTAAGGGTGAGGACAACGAAGTATAGGGTAGGTCATCGAATATGTAGTGCATTACAAATACTACGAGTAACAACCGGTGTGATGATTCCGTTCATTGAACTACTCAACTTCCAGCCACGAGATCGCCAGTTTTAACACCAATCCACCAATTTAAGTTAGTATAGTGCGATAATAGCATTAGCTTCCACATGGTAAGTTTGTCCAACTGTCAATTAAATCACCTTTTATGTGGTTAAAGGATAACATACCATAATAATTCCTAACAAATAGTGACCATAGACAAATTTCTTATACCTAATTTCCGTTGTTTTAAAGTAATATAAACTTTACTATTGTGGTTTTGCCTCTAACATTTTTTCTCATCTCTTCGCATTTCGAATAGGATAAAGAGCCCCAAGTTGAGGTTTGAAGTCTTATTAGCGGTGGGGTTCTTTTACAGGGTGGGGTTGCTAGCGCCACGCTCAAGTTCCCCTCTTTATCAGGTTTACTATCGGCTAAGAGAGGCTTAGGAGTGCGCCAATCGGGAATCGAACCTGGGCTGCTTGAATGGTTGACTAGTATTCTATCATTGTAAACCACTGACGCACTTGTTTTATGTACGTTTGGTTAAAACTAGTGATCTTGTTATCTAGTTGCTGTAGGTCTCCAGGTTTTGCTCCGTGCGTCGGTGGCACAGCGGTTAGGACTCTCGCCGACTATGCACGCGGTCCGGGGTTCGATCCCCTCCCGACGCACACTTGATATCTATGGTCGGCCTGCAAAATTTGGGCTACCGATATCACATGCTGAAAATTCCATACCTCTACCAAAAAATACGGTGTGGAATCAAGCTGTAATCAAAAATATCAAAAAATCTTTAAATTCACCATAATGTTTTGAGATAGCAACGAAATAACACTGAATACAATGAAGCTCATTTTAGTATCAAAATTTTCAAATAACATCCGGGCGTAACTAGTACTCACTCTAGGCGTATACCTAACATCGTTAAGCTAAATTTATAAGCTTTTAACGTAAACAAAAAACACTAACCTGATTTCTCCATTAGTTGAGACAGTCAGAGATGAAAATTTAGAATATTTTATTTTCTAATTTATTATATCTTACAGGTTTGGTCTGCCTAAAATGTATTGAATAACAGTCGGCATACAGTACTGGACACAGTTTTCGTGCATTTTTTGTGCGCTCACATCTAGCTCAAATAGAATGCCGTAAGTGCCAAGAAATGTTACTATGCGCATTATTTATCACACTTATGGATTTAGCTATTACCCGTCGAATCTAAACCTTCCGGATCACAGTTCCAAATTAAAATACTTCTCTGAAGAATTACGATTTCAGGCGCTGGGCAATAGTGAAAAGTCGAAAACTATAAAGATAACCGTCTGCAAACTTATTTTTGTGCTTTCCAATTGGTGCGGAACTGAGTTCTACTAAACCTGCTATGACAAATATTTAGTCGTGTGGTGGCACTGGTGACTACTTACATGCAGAATACCTCGATTGGATGATATTTTACCCATTATCAACCACTTTGTTAGCCTGTTCTGTAATGAATGAAAAGCTTCGCTTAGCAGATTGCATTCACAATCAACTATAATTTTCAGGTGACCATAGTTGATGCGTTCACGTGGGAGTTTAAGAGTTCGTGCTTGTCTATCCAAAAATAGCTGAATAGATTTACTGTTGCTTGTATTCTGTCTATTGATATACAAAATTTGTGCTCGTAACACTAAAAAATAAGCAAAGAATTGAAGTACACACATATTAATCATATAACTAATTAGTAAATGACACAACGACATAAAAAAAATCTTTCATTTCAAAATGTAGAGATATGAGTAAACAAGGTAGGAATAAGCGAAAACTGCGTTGTAGTTAGCAAGTAGATTGTAGTGTTAACTGCTCAGTATATATGAAATCAATTCCAAGAGGATCATTTGCACCTGAGACATCAGTTTTCTGTCTAGCTAATAAGCTAAAAGCTCACTTCACATCGGTTTCAATTACAATTAGCCAACTAAATCGTATGTTTTTCTTATCCACAAATCAATTCAGCGCATGACTTCAGTATATCTATTAAGTGATTAGTCACAATTAAAAAAAATGAATTTAAGAAAAGTATTAGGTTCCTTCACTGTCACAGGGTTCTTGCTCTGCCTCAAATCATCGAAAATACCCATTGAGTCATGAAGAAAATAAAAGACAGATTCAGCGAAGAAAATTTGCTTTATCGACGAAATCATCTTCAGAGGCTGTACAGTCGTATTTATACTTAGAAAAATGTATACTGGTCTATTATTGAGTAATAGGGGGTGACATAATTGATATGATTCATCATAAGTGGCTTTAGAAGTGAAAATTAAAACTTGTAAATTACATGGTACTCAACGGAACAAAGATAGAAGTTTGATAAGGTTAAAATTGCTCTTGAGTGAGAATAAAGTTGGTATTTGAGTGTCAATTCAACAAGTGCCAAGAGGGTGTGAAAATGTACGCAAAGAACATATGAGATTGATAATAGTGAATTAATTATTAAAGCAAAAGCAAACTGAAAGTAAAATTAAAAATTAAGAACAAAAAAAATCAAAATTTTTTACATGGAACGATTAGTGAAGAGGTTAAGACCAAGGTAGAATAAGAGACTGGAAAAGCCTTTTCTGTATACAGAGTTCAGGGTTGTATTGATGAATTGCCAGCGCCTCCGCCATACACAAAGGTCGAAACCTGACGCCCTTTGTACCATTTGGCTTCATTTTGTAGATGATCTTGAAAAAGGACAATGTAAGACAATTACTAGCTCAATTCTCGAGCATTTGGTGAACTCAGATCACGTAGCTCCACCAGGGTCGTCTTTCAAGATCATTTACAAAATGAAGCCAAATGGTACAAAGGGCGTCAGGTTTCGACCTTTGTGTATGGCGGAGGCGCTGGCAATTCATCAATACAACCCTGAACTCTGTATACAGAAAAGGCTTTTCCAGTCTCTTATTCTACCTTGGTCTTAACCTCTTCACTAATCGTTCCATGTAAAAAATTTTGATTTTTTTTGTTCTTAATTTTTAATTTTACTTTCAGTTTGCTTTTGCTTTAATAATTAATTCACTATTATCAATCTCATATGTTCTTTGCGTACATTTTCACACCCTCTTGGCACTTGTTGAATTGACACTCAAATACCAACTTTATTCTCACTCAAGAGCAATTTTAACCTTATCAAACTTCTATCTTTGTTCCGTTGAGTACCATGTAATTTACAAGTTTTAATTTTCACTTCTAAAGCCACTTATGATGAATCATATCAATTATGTCACCCCCTATTACGCAATAATAGACCAGTATACATATTTCTAAGTATAAATACGACTGTACAGCCTCTGAAGATGATTTCGTCGATAAAGCAAATTTTCTTCGCTGAATCTGTCTTTTATTTTTTTTTCAGAAAAATAATTATTGTACAGTGATGGGGTATACAGAAAATAGACTAATTTCAAGAGAATATTCTTAATGAACTGTTTACGAAACACTTTCCTATTTTTAAATCCTAATAGTCGTGACTCTGCTAAATAAGAATTTTGCGATAAGACCATCAAAACACTTGAGAAATTCAGTTAAAGTGAGATTAGAATTCAAGTTGTACATAAATTAAAAACACCAGGAAATACACACAGGCCTTATATCAGTTTAATAGACATATTATGTCATGTAAGAAACTAGCGAATACAATATTGTCAGACCCCGAGCATCCTCTCTATACGCAGCTCTCTCCTTGCATTTCATCGGGTAGAACTAGAAGCAGCTATAGGAGGCTATATACTAGGACTACCAAATACGAAAACTCCACAATATCATATCTGGCACAGCTGTTATGTGATGAGAAATCCGTTAGGTATGACACGATCAACTTACTGCGGCACTCTAACAAATAGTCCCATTAGTTTTTGTTTTCCTTTCCTCGTTACTATTACACTGTTGTCCTCATCTTCTATCACACATCAACTTTATATTTCATATCCTGTGGTGCATTGTTTGAAATGTAAACGCTACGCTGTTTTTTTACAAATTTATCTTTTAATTTTTTGGTGTTGGTTTTTGTTTATTTATTTATTTTGATCTTAAAAATCTTATAAAATTTATGAGGTAATTAGATGCAATATATTGTAATGCACGCTGAAAATTCCATACCTGTATCACAAATACTATTTGGAATAAAGCTGTTATTATTATTAATAATAATAATAGAGTAAAAATATCATCTCTTAACGATTATCTTTTTACCTGTAATTTATTGGCTATATCATTTGACTTTTGCTAACTGGTCTCAGGTTCCTAACCTAATCCGTCTGCATCAACGCGCACAATTAGGTAGTATCATCACCAGGTGTCACAGGATAAGTATAGCTCATAGTCTGGTAAATGAAATAGATATCTGTTCCAGATAACTCACTTCTGACTAGCTAAACATCTCAATAGACAATGTAGTTATTTAGTTGTTAAAAGTTATAATATCACCGGAAATATTTTGATAGACTGAGGAAGTCAGATAGCAGACTGAAAATGGGAAAGCCAATCATGTTTTGTTTTCATTGTAGCCAGAATCAATTTTCGCGGGATGTACGGAAAATGCTTGTCGGTAGTGTATATCAGTTGTTAATTTTAATTCAATGATAACTAACTGTAAGTTAATAATACCGACATCCGTAAATGTAAAAAGTTAACTCAAATTACAAAGGCTTATTTGATAAAGTGTTGAAAAAAGCTGCAGGTAGCATTTGGAGAAAATATAAAGGAAACTGAAGTTACTACTAAAGGTATCAGTTATCAGTTGGTAGACTTTCAAAGTTTTTAATTAATGACACAGTATTGTAATAAATATCACATGTCAACATCTAACGCCGAAACATCCGGTTGTTTCACTTGATAAACTTGGGTAACGCAGTAGGAACGGCTTTCCTAACAAATATGGAATTGCAACATTCTGTTTATATGCAAGTAAACACTACATAATAGATTGGAGAATAGAAGCGTACTCTATATTTAATAGAGAAGATTTGTATCACAGGTGGATGATTTGTAATTAATAGTGTTCTCTGAGCTGGTTGGTTTAGTTGCGGAGCTTTCGTCGCACACCTTTCTGGACAACATCTTCAGCGCAATATTTAGCACAAAGTGAAATGATTTAAATTTTTCTTCATGAGTGATATAATTGCGTCTCCCTGTAACCATCTTTACATCTGTATTGACCATTTTCTACTGACTTGGATTTTAAACTTTCTGGTCACCTGATGTACTTTTTTACTAGATGGTATATTTAGTCTATATTAACGCGTTTGTTAAGTGCATTTTCGTTTGGGTACCAGGCTTCTAGGAATTCCCTGGCACTTTTGGTGTTTCCTCTGTCTAAGATTTCGACATTATCCCAATCAAATTGATGTCCATAATTGTCTATATGCATTAATACTAAAGAATCTATATCGTGTCTTTTCACGACTGATTTGTGTTCTTGGATTCTAATTCGAAAGGGACGCCCACTTTGGCCGATGTAATGCTTGTTATAGTTCATACAATTTATTTTGTAAATGGTATTAAGTTTATCCCTTTTTTTCTGTCGGATCTTTCGGTTTGCATAATATTGAATTAAGCGGCTTGACTGGCTTGTGTACTATATCTATATCAAACGGTTTCAGTATTCTAGCTGTTATTTCAGAGATATTTCTCATGTACGGTAGGATGAATTTTCTTCTGGTCTCTGATGATGGTTTCTTGTTGGCGTTTTGATTTGACTTTAAACACTTTTTGATGAAATTTTGTGGATAACCATTTTTATTGAAGACCGTTTGTAGGTATTTTTCTTCCATTCTTTTCAACTCTGGAGTGCTGTAATGTGTTTGAACTCTTTTAAACAATGTCTGCACACAGTTTCGTTTGTGAGTGAGTAATTGGATTATTGCTAGTATAGTTGAGTATTTGATCAGTGCGCGTTGATTTTCTATATATTTGTGTTTCTAAATTTCCTGTGTTGGTTCTCCTGATTAAGACATCTAAAAATGGGATTTTGTTATCTAATTTTTCTTCTCTTGTGAATTTGATGTCTTCATATATTTTGTTTATTAATTTATGGGTATTATCAAATTCATTTCTTTTAATTATTACAAATGTATCATCAACGTAAAGAACCCAGATTTTCGGTTTAATTATAGGTAGAGCTATTAATTCTAATTTTTGCATAACTGCTTCAGCTATTAATCCTACATATGTAAAGATGGTTACAGGGAGACGCAATTATATCACTCATGAAAAAAAATTAAATCATTTCACTTTATGTTGAATACTGCGCTGAAGATGTTGTCCAGAAAGGTGTGCGACGAAAGCTCCGCAACTAAACCAACCAGCTCAGAGAACACTATTAATTACTCTATATTTAATTTAACTGTATATATTCTTCTCATTTAGACATTTAGAAAGCGAAAGGATTGAGCAGCTCTAGCTCTACTCTAATATACACGTAAAGCATTTTTATTACAATACACCACAATCTACCAATCAAGTGGCGATATGTTTGTCAACAATAATTAATCAATATCAGCATGTCATGAAGCCTGATAATAACTACGATAGATAATTCAGACAAGTAAAGGGTAGAAATGATTACAACAATGATAATATGGAATTAAAGATTAGGCAGTTAGAAAAATAATAAAATAATTTGGACAATTACACTTTTTAAAGGTTCAGTGGCGAAGTAGTCCGGCTTATACATTCATGTAACAATGGTCAAAGTAAGGCAAGTGGTTGTACAAACTTCTTCTGAACACAGAGGTTTGGCTTCTTCAGCTGTATGAAGAAGACGAACTAGCAAAGCAAAATTAAGACTAATAGGAATGCGATAAATAATTTTAAGTGCTGTATTAACATCAGCTTTATACCCACTATATAAAAGATGTGCTAAAACAGAGCTACGAACAGATCTTGTCTGTCCCTTGCTTAACCATGTTGGATGATGTTTGGAAATACGATGATAATTATCTGTCTTGGTTACTATCATGCCACATGACATGTTGATATTGATTAATTATTGTTGACAAACATATCGCCACTTGATTGGTAGATTGTTGTTTATTGTAATAAAAATGCTATATATATTAGAGTAGAGCCAGAGATGAGGATCTAATTAAAAAGTAAATCTTTCTTCGTTCAGTCCTTTTACTTTCTGAAAGTATAATCGTCCTTACTGTATGAAAAAGCTGATATCCTCATTTCTCATTTTTCAAATCACCAGTACCATCGACACTCAAATTAACAAAATATCCCAAAAATGCATACGAGTAACTATCAGCCAATATTCGCTTCAAAAAATTTAACTCAAAAACCTTTTAAAATCAAAATGAAACCGTCATTTCAAAACAGCTTCCAACAAAAAATAAACTATGTTTGTAAATTTAAAAATCAACTTACCAACATCAGCCATACAAAAACTACTAATAGCACTTTCAAAAGTTGGTTCTTCAACACAACCAGAACAACGAAGCCCTAAAAGTTATCAAAGAAATACACATTTCATTAATATACTATGAAAACAAAATTATATACTTCTAAACCCTGTAAACATGAACACATGTCTTGACCCTAAAGTAACGTAGAATATTTCACCACTTTTGTTTCTTAGTATCTTGGAAATATTTCAAAAACGTCTGTCTTAAATAAAGAAAATTAAATAATCAGCATCCCAGCTAGAAGGTCTGGATTTCACAGATGATATATTTCTAATGTCACACAAACTCAAAGACTCGAAAACCAACAAACTAGCTGAAGAGACTAGCTAAGGAGACAGGACTCCAGGTGAGCACAGAGAAGACGGAAGTGATGAAGATGACCGACGAACCACCACCACCACAACAACAACAGACAGCACCAATCACCATCAACGGGAGAGATTTAACAAAGGTTACTTCCTGCCTCCACTTATCTAGAAACCATCGTTTCACTTACAAGCGGAACGGGTGAAGACGTTGGAGCCAGCCTGCCTGAATCGGAAAAGCAAGATAAGCCCTCGTCAATCGGAAGCCAATTTGGAAGTCTTCTTCACTCCACCTCAGCATAAACAACAAGATTTGGATTTTCAACACAAATGAGAAATCGGTTTTTCTATACTAGTCAAAAACTTGCAGTGAGTGTCAGGAAAAGGATTTCCAACAGGTTGAAAACTTCTATAAACAGCTGCCCTCTTCGCTCTATTGTGAAGATGAAATGACCGGCCAGAAAGAATCAACAACAAGAAACTCTGGCTGGGAACAAACCAACCAAGAGCCAATCACTCAACAAATATATTGGGAGAAAGTGGAGATGGATTGGGCACACGCTGAGGATGTCGTCGAATGACATCGCGTAACAGGCCATTTTCGGAGTGGAATCGTAATAAAATGCGACGAGTGTTTCGTCAGTGAAAGGGCAAATTGGAGGAGATCACACGAGGAGAAGATGAGAGATTATGGGCAATCGTCGACCCAAGTGAAGAGGATGGCAGAAAATGGAAGAAAGTGGAGATGTGTTGTTGAAGCCTCATATTCCGCTTGGAACCCAAGGGAACAATAATAATAATAATCCCATCCAACTGAAACTACCTATTTAAAAAACAGGTGGTCTAAATTCAATGTCCGAAAAATAGTTAGTGAAATAATATTGTCACCTGATTTTCTTACTCAGAAATTACTTCGACAACTGAAAACCCAAATGATATTAATTGAGTGAATATAAATCTAAAGCATAATCTGTTTTTCATCTAAACAGAAGAACATTTTATTCAAAGGTATTAATTAAAAATACAGAATTATTACTAAAAACGAGCTCTTGAAATTTGATGATGATAATAATAATGTAAAATGCTGTCAACTCTTGAGAAGAAAATAAGACTCTACTATTCACTACTCTCATTTTGCGTATACAAAGCCACTTGTTTGAAAAAGTATTCTCAGTCGAAGTGTTTAAGTTTTAAGTTCTCAAATAGTCTTTCAGCACTACTCCATGTAGACAAAGAACTGAGCATCTGTTAACTTAAGTCTTTCCACCAAAACAATAAGAAAAGATATAATAATGTAGATGAATTTCTTCAAACTTATTTCATTATTTAATTCAATTTAGATTTTCCTGTCGATTGATTGGACCGAAGTGTTCAGTCTCAGATGGGTACTGAGTCTGAGCTTCGGTGGGAAAACCATCACCCACTGTGGAATGTAGGTGTGTTCAGACGGCGAGTCACAAATGGGACAAAATGCGCTTCCTCGATTCCACTGCTAGACACCAACCAACTGACTAATCTCAGTATTTCCAGCTATTATTTGCGGAATCCTTTTGTTTTACTTTAGGATACCCTCTTAGTTTGAACTGTAGACCACAATATAAATTTGTTGAATAGATGCGATATGCGCGTTATTTGTAGTTTACAAGTTGATCGAAGACAATATTTTGTCTCATTGATTGCGGAATTTTGATTGGTAGGAGTAAAAATGACTAGATGAAGTGATAATGAAAAGCATTAACCAACAAAAATAAGCGTATTTCCACTTATTTAAGAATTAAAACAGCAATGTAAGAGGAAAATTGTTCTATTGAGTCTCTTTTTTATTAAAGCAACTCTTGTACACTGGCGCTCCTAGCCGACTAACATTCATAATGAAATTGTGTGTTAAAGAGATGACCTGCTGTTAACCTGAGGCTTTTTTAGAACAAAAGTTAATGCATTAACGCATATAAAACTGTTTAATTTCTGTTCCATGATTTGGTAACATAATATTTTACTAGATAGTCAAAGTGTATTATGACTATTAATGTGAGACATGGAGAACCGCTCGAATCGAGTTGATCATGTATAATTTAATAATATCAAACATATGAGTACAACGATTAATTTGGTAGCAGTAAAAAGAGGCAGATTGTTATTATTAAAAGTAACTACTTGCTTTCTCAGTTGGTTGTTTCACTCTGATGTCATCAAAACCCATGTAAAGACTCACAAAAGATAACTATTTTACACTGTTACTGAAATAAACTATTTACGAAGAATGACTTATGACCTTTACTCATGAAATTTCAAGAACAGTTTACGTAGTAAATCTCTGAAGGCACCGAGGGTGATCTCAGATAGTATCATGGCATAGTTTAGTTTCAGGAATGGGTTATTCTTTGTAGCCAAGCAACGTTTAAGATATGTATGGGGTTAAGGTTAGGAGTACGCTTAGTTTGTGATTAAGAGCAATGTCAGTCTATTACTTATGTTTAAAGTTAGAGTTATAGTTGGTTAAGGATTTATGGTTTATTACTAGATAAAGTGAGTGTTTCCTGAAGTCTGGATTGTGCAGAATTTCAGGGATTGTTACCCTGTACAGAGTACCTGTTTCCATTCATTTGTTCATCTTAAATATATTTTTTAATCAATAATGTCTTGCTGATATACAGGTATTTTGGTCAGCTTTTCAAAGTCATTCGGTAGGTCGTTCATCTGTGTAGCATTGTGAGCTATCAAACAATCAACATGATAAAGTAGTCTACACATTCTTCAATATATTTGCCGATTTCTTGAATAGTTCAACAATCTTGAAAAAAAATTAACTTCAGTAAACTGATTAAAAAATGGTCATTAGAACAAAGAATATTATTTTCGATAGCTTCCTCATCAGGTTCTACAGTTATGTATCCATAATAATGAATGAATTAGTGATATTGACAACAATAATGTTTAAATAACATCTACATTCAAAATAGTTTTATGTTGATGCATAATATCAAGCTTACAGATACTACTGATATTAGATGGTTAGAGGCGATCAGCAAGAAGTTTTGTATCTAGGTTTCGTGATAGTTGCAACTCACCAATCACCAAGGCGTATCTACAACCTTGAACGAACTCATGTCCCTTCTGAGATTCAGATATCCGTCACCCAGTGCTGCAGTCAGAGACATTACCACTGAGCTATTCGGGCTTGCGAATGAACTCCTCGATGACTGTATTGAATATTTTGGATTGGACATTAGTAACTAGTGTAATTGGTCTAGTCCTATGTTGCAGATATGCCTTGCTGACTGGTGAGTACGAACTAGCACGAAACCTAGTAGGTCCAAGGCTTCCTGTGGCCGATTGCCTCCAACCATCTAATATCAACGATTCAAAGTGCACGGTGATGGCAAGCCACATAGAATGGTAGTCATATTGCAAACCTGACTGATAGAATTCAGTCTGCTCCAAATAAAGGACTAGGCACATTACACTAGTTACTAACTAGTGTCCAATCAAACGATGCTATTGAACTGCAATCTATTCATATTATTGATTCGATGTTATTTAAATATCTCAGTATTGTCAATAACCCTAATTATTTCATCATTACCGATATATAACTGTAGAACCTGATGAAGAAGTTATCGAGAAGAATATTCTTCCTTCATTAATCAGTCTTCAGATAACATTGATTACTGATTAAAATTATCTGTGAAAGTCAACCTCTGGACATTAATCTGATGCTCAGTATTGACTAACTTCATGATGATTCCTTTAAATATCATTGATTATTCGTAACCGATGGAGTGTACAAATTCAGGTGTGAAAACAGTTATTCACTGCTGACAAAGAATCAAAGAGGCAATACATTCTAAGGTGTAGGGGCCTGGAGAATAAAAGTCAGGTTATACACAGCGAAAGAAGTGCTGGAAATCTCAAAATCCTTAGGTCAAGCTCTCATCGACTTTTGGATTAAGCTGTGCTGAGTGACCATAATTTATCAAAAAACAATTGTCTGCTATTACATTTTTCAATGGATTTTTGGCTGATATAATATATATATGTATATGCGTAATATCTCGATAAAAATGTCCCGATATCAGTTGAATACTCATAAACTCAATAACACTACTGATATTTTTTTCCTTCACGTTCCCCCGTGGAACATAGGGCTTCAAGATAGTGGCTTGGAGTTTCTGTAGCAGTATTTATTTTACAGGATGGGGTTGCCCAACCTTTTCTCTTTACCAGGATTATTTCTGGCTTAGGGAAGTAAAGGAGTGCGTCTGTGGCCGGGGATCGAACCCCGGACCATGTGCATGGTCGGCGAGCGTCCTAACAGCTATTCCACCGACGCACTACTGATATTATCTTTCTATAATAATTTCTTTGATAAAACACATTGATACAACAGGATTGTTCACCGACGACGATTCAAGCACAATCTGTTAGTAAACGAAACTCCATCCTTCCATATTAATTTACGCACTGTATGTGTCGTATAGTGGAAAGCTAGTATTTAATGGAAGACGTTTCGAACACAATGTGTTGTTCATAGTAGCAATCGATATGATTATGAATAACACAATGTGTTCGAAACGTCATCCATCAAATTATACCTTTCCACTGTACGATGTATCCAGTAAATAAATTGATATGGCATTACATAATGCCACAATGCCCAAGTTTTACATATACATTAAAGCTGCATCATAATGTATCCTACATCTAATAAAATCATACTCTACCAACGTGCCAA